TCTGTAGATATTCGAGTTCACTGCCTCACAAAAAGGCAAATGAGCAGTGTTTGTGTGGTTGAAAATGAAAATGAAGGTGAAAGCTTTTAAAGTTATAAAAAAATATATAAAGAGAAACGATTTTGGTTTTATGTGAATATTCCTTTGATCTTGTCTGCTGAAGCTTTTTTCATACTCAAAATCACCCTTCTCTTTGGCGACGTAACTTCCCGCTCGTTATGTAGAGCCTCGGAATCCCTGAAGAACTGCGGAGAAAATGATCTGTAGAGCTTATGCAACATTTCCCGTGCCAATATCGCCGTGTCGAGATATGAACGCCAGCCCAAACTGCTTTTATTGTCTCACACCGTCAAGCATCTGAAAAGTTCTCAAATTAGTAGTCTAGTCATTGAAAATGTTGTTTTATTCTCTTAAATCGCGTTTCTGCTCGGATCTCGTTCTCTCGAATCCATAATAAGAGAGCTAAAGTACCCCCTTAGGCCCCCTGCCTTATAGGGGTAATTAGTGGAGCTCTCTGGGTATCTCGGGGTTTAGCCTTCAGACCGAGACAGCTGTGAATCTTCTCTAGCCTAAAGTGTTTTTTTTTTTCGTCTATCTGGTTCATTTGTCTAAATTTGTCTTATGGCGTAGTTACCATGTCCTATCTCAAAAAGAAAAAAAACGTCTGGGGGGCAAGGGTACGCGAGCAGAGAGTACTTAGTTGAGAACATAACACGTGCAAGGTTATTCATTTATATCTATAAAAAAAGAAAACGTAAGGGCGCCGGGTATGTGTCCCAGTTCATTCGCACATTGCTATGGTATGTTTTAGTCTCCTTCACTTTGTCAGGGCAGAATCACAAGGCCTGAAAGATCTACCTTAAGTTATATCGCTTAAGGGAAAAAAGAAGATAAAATGCATGATAAGGTTCTTCGTTTTGACTGTCTGGGGTCCGTGAGACTTTAAGCTGTTTGGATACAGTATATAATAGAGAGCATGTCGTTTGTAATTATTGAAGAACGCTGACTGGTTTGAGTGTGTAAAAATGTAAGTATGTCTGTAGAAAAGTTCTCTTGAGTTTGATCATTACAGAATCTGTACATTTGCCTTCCTTAAGAAGTAAATGTACAGTGCTTTATGCCATGCTTGGGGATTATCAATTGCTTCGGATTTTACATTTTATCCATGATTTTTTTTTTTTTTTTTTTTTTTTTTTTGCTATTTTACTATCATTCTGGACGCAAGCTTTTGAAACTGTTATTTCCCATGAGGATGGAAATTATCCAAATGTTACTTATTGATCATGCATATGATCAATATCTTTTAGGTTTTATGTCTTGAATGTCTGCATCAGCTCCAAGCCGCATCTTCATGATAGTTCACAGAGCCTGACCCCAATGATTTGGGTTTGGCATTCTAATTTTACTAATGAATATAGCACACATACACATACATACACATGAAGAAGACACGATTAATTCTCCAGCTAGCATATATATTTCTTTAGATCACACAAACACCCACACGCACACACACACACTCACACACACGCGCATACACGGCACACACACACACTGTGTGACCTAAAGAAAGATATGCTAGGTGGAGCTTGTTCATGCATACGGGCCAGAATGCGTGACTGAAACAAAGCAATCTTTTTATTGTGAATACCTGTAATTTGTGCTGCAGGTACGGCGTGTTGCTGCTGGCTTTGGTGTCCCTCGCAGGGGCAGCGCCCTTCGTTCCTGAGGCAGCGCGGGCCTTGTACAACCCCGGACTGTGGGAAGGGGACATCAAGGGCGTGGCAGGACAGAAACCCGGGGTATTTGCGTCTTTTATTTACTTTTTCAGCTCCCTTCATACCCAATATTTTTCTCTCTTTTGTAAATGATATCCTCTAGTAGCATATCTGATGTTTGATTTGTTCAAAATCAGAACAACAAAGGGAAAATTCTTTACATGACCTTAAGCTATTTAGTTTCGCCTCGGGCATTCTTCATTTAGTCGAATAAAAGTTTTTTTTCACCAGGAGGAGAAATCGGCTATCATAGGAGATCAATTCTTGTGGACAGATGGTGTTATTCCTTATATTCTCGGTGAGTATTTGCACCGCACATTCCCCTCCGGTGTATAAACACTGCCTTACAAGTTTGTGTATCGTAAAGTTTCTGATGTTTACCTTTAGAAAATAGAGATAAAGACAAGGTAAAAAAAATATATATATACTAACCATAGCGGTCTGTTTTTTTGTGAATATCGCGTACTAAAGCAAAGAAAATTACATTTTTTTCTTGAGTATTGCCCTCTTCAAACGTGTTTCAGCTCACTTGCTTTGGCTTTGAGTAATACCTTGATGGATCCTTTTAATGTCTCCTTCATTAATCAGTAGTATATTCATCTCTCTCTCTCTCTCTCTCTCTCTCTCTCTCTCTCTCTCTCTCTCTCTCTCTCTCTCTCTCTCTCTCTCTCTCTCTCTCTCTCTCTCTCTCTCTCTCTCTCTCTCTCTCTCTCTCTCTCTCTCTGACTATCTTTATCTATCTCACTCACTCACTTCTCTCTCTCTCTCTCTCTCTATCTATCTATATATATGTATGTATGCGTACTTACATATATATGTGTGTGTATATATATATATATATATATATATTATATATATATATATATATATATACATAGATACATACACACACATACCCACACACACACACACACACACACACACATATTTTTTTTCATATATGTGAATATGTAAATGACATATTCTGGACACCGCTGTACATTTTAATTTTACATTCGCCACAAACTTGAATGTGATCTTTTTTTGACGAAAGGAATCGCAAATACACCGTAAATCTATTCACCCAGAACATTCCACCATCCGCGAGAACCCGTAACATCACAAAGCAGAATTCACCTATTTTCTCCTATTTCACTTTCCTCCTTCATGCAAAATAACTTTCCCTGCCACAGCTGAATTCACCCATTTTCTCCTATTTCATTTCTCTTTCATGCAAAATAACTTTCCCTGCCACAGCTGCTATTTCATTTTCCTCCTTCAGCAAAATAACTTTCCCTGTCACAGCTGAATTCACCCATTTTCTCCTATTTCATTTTCCTCCTTCATGCAAATAACTTTCCCTGCCACAGCTGAATTCACTCATTTTCTCCTATTTCATTTTTCCTCCTTCATGCAAATTAACTTTCCCTGTCACAGCTGAATTCACATTTTCTCCTATTTCATTTTCCTCCTTCATGCAAATTAACTTTCCCTGCCACAGCTGAATTCACCCATTTTCTCCATTTCTTTTCCTCCTTCATGCAAAATAACTTTCCCTGCCACAGCTGAATTCACCCATTTTCTCCTATTTCATTTTCCTCCTTCATGCAAAATAACTTTCCCTGCCACAGCTGAATTCACCCATTTTCTCCTATTTCATTTTCCTCCTTCATGCAAAATAACTTTCCCTGCCACAGCTGAATTCACCCATTTTTCTCCTATTTCATTTTCCTCTTTCATGCAAAATAACTTTCCCTGTCACAGCTGAATTCACCCATTTTCTCCTATTTCATTTTCCTCCTTCATGCAAATAACTTTCCCTGCCACAGCTGAATTCACCCATTTTCTCCTATTTCATTTTCCTCCTCCATGCAAAATAACTTTCCCTGCCACAGCTGAATTCACCCATTTTCTCCTATTTCATTTTCCTCCTTCATGCAAATTAACTTTCCCTGCCACAGCTGAATTCACCATTTTCTCCTATTTCATTTTCCTCCTCCATGCAAATTAACTTTCCCTGCCACAGCTGAATTCACCCATTTTCTCCTATTTCATTTCCTCCTTCATGCAAATTAACTTTCCCTGCCACAGCTGAATTCACCCATTTTCTCCTATTTCATTTTCCTCCTTCATGCAAAATAACTTTCCCTGCCACAGCTGAATTCACCCATTTTCTCCTATTTCATTTTCCTCCTTCATGCAAATAACTTTCCCTGTCACAGCTGAATTCACCATTTTCTCCTATTTCATTTTCCTCCTTCATGCAAAATAACTTTCCCTGTCACAGCTGAATTCACCCATTTTCTCCTATTTCATTTTTCCTCCTTCATGCAAAATAACTTTCCCTGTCACAGCTGAATTCACCCATTTTCTCCTATTTCATTTTCCTCCTTCATGCAAATAACTTTCCCTGCCACAGCTGAATTCACCCATTTTCTCCTATTTCATTTTCCTCCTTCATGCAAAATAACTTTCCCTGCCACAGCTGAATTCACCCATTTTCTCCTATTTCATTTTCCTCCTCCATGCAAATTAACTTTCCCTGTCACAGCTGAATTCACCCATTTTCTCCTATTTCATTTTCCTCCTCCATGCAAATTAACTTTCCCTCACAGCTGAATTCACCCATTTTCTCCTATTTCATTTTCCTCCTCCATGCAAATAACTTTCCCTGTCACAGCTGAATTCACCATTTTCTCCTATTTCAATTAACTTTCCTGCCACAGCTGAATTCACCCATTTCTCCTATTTCATTTTCCTCTTCATGCAAAATAACTTTCCCTCCACAGCTGAATTCACCCATTTTCTCCTATTTCATTTTCCTCCTTCATGCAAAATAACTTTCCCTGCCACAGCTGAATTCACCCATTTTCTCCTATTTCATTTTCCTCCTTCATGCAAATTAACTTTCCCTGCCACAGCTGAATTCACCCATTTTCTCCTATTTCATTTTCCTCCTCATGCAAATAACTTTCCCTGCCACAGCTGAATTCACCATTTTCTCCTATTTCATTTTCCTCCTTCATGCAAAATAACTTTCCCTGCCACAGCTGAATTCACCCATTTTCTCCTATTTCATTTTCCTCCTTCATGCAAATAACTTTCCCTGCCACAGCTGAATTCACCCATTTTCTCCTATTTCATTTTCCTCCTTCATGCAAATAACTTTCCCTGCCACAGCTGAATTCACCCATTTTCTCCTATTTCATTTTCCTCCTTCATGCAAATTAACTTTCCCTGTCACAGCTGAATTCACCCATTTTCTCCTATTTCATTTTTCCTCCTTCATGCAAAATAACTTTCCCTGTCACAGCTGAATTTCAGCCTGAATTCACCCATTTTCTCCTATTTCATTTTCCTCCATGCAAAAATAACTTTCCCTGTCACAGCTGAATTCACCCATTTTCTCCTATTTCATTTTCCTCCTCCATGCAAAATAACTTTCCCTGCCACAGCTGAATTCACCCATTTTCTCCTATTTTCATTTTCCTCCTTCATGCAAAATAACTTTCCCTGCCACAGCTGAATTCACCCATTTTCTCCTATTTCATTTTCCTCCTTCATGCAAAATAACTTTCCCTGCCACAGCTGAATTCACCCATTTTCTCCTATTTCATTTTCCTCCTTCATGCAAATTAACTTTCCCTGTCACAGCTGAATTCACCCATTTTTCTCCTATTTCATTTTCCTCCTTCATGCAAATTAACTTTCCCTGCCACAGCTGAATTCACCCATTTTCTCCTATTTCATTTTCCTCCTTCATGCAAATAACTTTCCCTTCACAGCTGAATTCACCCATTTTCTCCTATTTCATTTCCTCCTTCATGCAAAATAACTTTCCCTGCCACAGCTGAATTCACCCATTTTCTCCTATTTCATTTTCCTCCTCCATGCAAATTAACTTTCCCTGCCACAGCTGGAGGTTCAGACGCGGAGATCGTAGCCGCGATGGACGAAATCATGTCTAAGACTTGTATCAAGTTCATCCCGCGGTCCGTCGGGGAACACAATTACATACGCATCACGACCAACGGTGACGGGTGAGTGTCTCTGAGGGAAACTGGGGATGGTCATAGTAATGTAAATAATGATTACGTGTTTAAAAATGGAATGATGCTGATGGAGATGAGAAAAAAACAACAGTAATAATGATAATAATACTGATGGGATGTGTATGGTGATGATGGCGATGATGGAGATAATAAAAGAAATAATAACAAATAATGATCACAAACTCATAAAACATAATAAACAAGCCGGACTAACTAGTATAAATAGATGAACGAAATGTAATGATATATAAAAATAATGAGTAATGATCATACCATAATGATGATTAACTAAAAGGATGAACCGATAAACATAATAATAATGCAAAAAGAAAACAATTATAGAAGATGACATTAAGAATATAAGATAAATACACTCAATAATCACATATGAATAATAATAATGAATAATCAATAATATATAGACATAATAAGTAATCAATAAATAATATATAATTAAATTAATAATATAATAGTTAATCAACCATTGAACCGCATACCATACAACTCTTCAACTCACCACTCACATCATATAAACACTACAACCACACGCCATACATTGATCTACACTCCAACCATAACCAACACCATCACATACACTCACAATTAAGAATCAAAGTACATAATAAAACACTACAAGCCAATAATTATACAACGCACATACATAATCATCACACCATACGAAATACACACTACATAATAATAATATATATCATAATAAAAAAATAATGATTATACAAATACTACATACACATCAGAGATAATGACTAGACGCGTGATAATACCACTACATCAAGACAGATCAACACTAAAATATCGCGAAACATAAACGATGATTAACTCACAAAATAAGAGAGCTCTATTGTATCAACTAGATATCATCACAGATATAAAGAGCCCCGATAAATAGCAGTATCGCACAACGTCAAGAACACAAGCAACGCGATAGAACGCCGAAATAGCACAATCAGACCACGCACCACACCACGACATATAATCGCTATAACGCTGACGTACAGAGCACTATCATCCCACACTCATCTAGCCTCACGTAAGGTACTACATACTTCTACTACCCAAGTCACGGACAAGCGAGGCGATTGAAACTCTCTCACGTCGTCAGACCTTCTCAAAAGCGTAAACCCACTGACTGCTGACCGTATTGACCACTGAGCTGATTCCATCCGCGCCATCACAGGTTTGCTTGGTCTACGTGGGCAAGTGATGGACCGGGGGGCAGGAAGATCTCCTGGCGTCCCGTTTTTCGCAAACGGGCTGCATCTACACGGCACGCATATCCCAAGGTCATGCACGCCATCGTGAATTCCTCCACGGAGCACAACCGCATGGTCACCGAGGACGAACCTACAGCCGTTCCGGATCAAGTCTATCAGATTATCGATCCTTTGTGTAAGGGAAGGAGAGGATGAGAGATTGAGGCGGAGAGGAGAAGAGATGAAGAGGAGGGAGAGAAGAGAAGAGAGAGAGAGGAGAGAGAGAGAGAGAGAGAGAGAAGAAGAGCGAGAGAGAGAGAGAGATGAGAAGAGAGAGGAGAGAGAGAGAGAGAGAGAGGAGGGTGGTAAGGGCGTTCTGAGAGGGGTATGTCGGAGGACTATATAGAATTGAAGAGTAGATTCGAGAGAAAGGGGGGAGAAGAGAGAGAGAGAGAGAAGGGGGAAAAGAGAGAGGAGAGGAGGAAGGGGGAGCAAGAGAGAGAGAGATACAAAGTAGGGAGGAAGAAAAGAGATAGAGAAGAGGAGCAGAAGAGAGCAGATGAGAAGAGAAGAAGAGGACGGATAAAGAAAGATGAGAGTAAAGAGATATCAGAGATTGACATAATCTAGTAACGTGTCTGTTATTCAGTATATGCAAGACGATAATATATGTCAAAAGCACTTAGCTCTTATTTTTTGCTTTTTAGCACTTATATTGCTAAATTTGTAGTAAGTATTCGTCATATATAATTAGTGGTTCGAAAGTCGTTAGATATCCTTAGATCCGGTTCTTATTATTAAAGGAAAAGATAAGTAATCCAGAGAAATTAGCTGATTTTTATCTCAATTTAAATGTATATGAACTATTACGTGAATACACAGCGGCATGCTGTCGTTAGGGAAAGAGCTTGGGATCGTAACCGCCTCGTCATCTTCGGGAAGATCCAAAAATTCTTATTAGTTTAGCACTCACCGTGACACAATATCATGCAAAAAGCAGACATCCACCAGGTTTTAGCCTCTACGCTATCAATACTTCCTTACAACGAATGGCATTATCGAACTTCGACAAAGACAAAAACGCAACTTCGCAGTACGTAGGACCAGAAGGCTTACAAAAGTGACATTTAGCAGTCAATGGGCACTACGCGAGTTGTACAGCCTCTCTCTAACCCAGCTGGGCGCGGTGCTGGAGACCATAGCGTGCCTCTCCAAGGACGGCGTAGACCGCTCACGGACTCCGGCCCTGTACGAGAGTCCCCAGCAATGCTAACATGTCCCATGATGCCGAACCGCAAATCAAAATAACCTTACCGGCCTGCTTTCAAATAGAGAAGAGATCGGGTATATTTTCCTCAGAAATCACCACTTTACGTTCTCCACCATTTGAATGGAGGACACGCGACACAATATGTTTCTCACTATCATTGGATTCTCAACATTGTCTTGACAGATTAATAAATTTTCTGCACCATGTGTCTTCCGATGTTTCGCCCTCGCCCCCGGTTTGCATGCTAATGCATTTCGTATATGATCAACGACACAAAAATCGCTGCCCAGCCGAAGTCCCTCATCGCTCATTGTCTATTGCTCTTCACCATTGAAAAAAGGGGTTTACTGTTGTAAGCATAAATACTAGCAGAAGTCAGACGAAAAGCACAATTTAGCGCAGAGCAAATTAAGTTGTGTATATTACGATGCAACACACACATACGCAGAACTATTATACACATCCAGATATCAACCACAAAACACACAACCAACACACACACCACCCCCAACACACACACACAGCATCACACAACCAACACATCTTCACGACACACACATCACACGGACAGCCACATACCCACCACCCAACCCCGATCAAGATGAATTATAAAATATTAAGAAAAAGATAAGAAAAACACACACTAACACACACACAACACATGACAACGCGTACACACACACAAGCCGAAAACAGGAGAAGGGCACAAGACATCACACAAACATCAGCACACACACACACACAACACACCACATTACACCACACACAAACCACACACACAATCAATCCACACACACACACGACACACACACACACACATCGCACAAACATAACACCAAACACACACATCACACAGATCACACCATCCACACACACATTTCACAGCACAACGCACAACAGGGCACACACAACACCCATCACACATCACAGGAACATCTTTACCACAACACTATTAAAATATATTATATAATAAATAAACTACTATATATATAAGCTATACTCTATATATATATCATATATGTAGTCATATGTTACTAATATATAATATAACCGATATATAATATATAATATTAGTAAATGTATATATTTTCATATATATATATATTTATATATTTATATTCATTATATACTATATATATAAACACATGACAATATATATAAAAATATATAATTACTAACAGTTAATATAATATATATAATTATATATAAATATATATATGTGATAGTAGACTGTGTGTGTATGTGTTGTTGTGGTGTGTGTGTTGTGTGTGTGTGTAGTGTATTGTGTGATGTGTTGTGTGTGTGTGTGTGTGTTGGGTGTGTGATGTTGTATATAATATATAAGTAAACATATAGTATAGATAATATACTAAATCTATATTATTAATATAATAATAATATATATAACAACCAACAAAAAAAAATATCACCCACACACACAAAAAAAAGCAGCACAAGAGATTTATAAAGAAACCATCATGTGCACAGAAAATATCTAATAAAAAACACACACCAACAACAACACACACACCACACAACAATATTGCTCACACTATCACACACACCACGGCACTCACATATATTATATATTAAATATATATATATTATAAATACTCCATATACTCATTACCCTAACCTAATAAAAACGTATATTTATATAATATAATTAATATTATAACAGAATACCACACACACACACGCAGCACATACACACCACCACACACACACACACAGCCACACATAAAAACACAAGCACACACTCAAATAATCTACAAGTCAGTCATAATACCTCTCATATATATATAAATGAATCTATCATATAATAATACTATCCCCTATATATACCCTACATTTACTCATCACTACTAGCTATTATGTACACTAGATATACTACTGTGTACACTATATAATACCTACTCCTATATACTACTACTCTATACCTATCCATATTTATATTATTACCCTCACCTATCCTTCTACCCCTATATATACTATTAATATCTATACCTATATATATTACATGTATATAAATACCTGCAATACTCCTCCTAGTATCTATACTATCACTCATCATACTACCATCATACTACTACCTCTATACTACGTATAATAATACTAATCGATATCAACTATTACTACATCTGGCATGCTGACTGGATAAATTCATCACTACTACTCCTCACTAGCCTATACAGCTCATCTTTATATATACTACCACCTATATATATACCTATCTATATCATAACTGCAGCCACTATATATATATACTATTAACTACTTAACTATATATAGCTCATGTGTGTCGTGTGTGTGTTTTGCGCTGCGGCACACACTACGCACACAACAAGTCGACCTCCTCGCTCTACACAGAACACACACACTCCAGGTGTCCTCCACCTGTCACATCACATTCACAACACAGCACGGATCCTCCTGCGCCCCAACATCCAAACATATCATATACATATACATATATACTCATTTATGTATCTATACTATATATGACTAGCTACACTACTATATACTCCGCCATACCTAACTATACCTTACTAATACTCTGTATCTGCTATATGTCTACGTATATAACTCTTACTAATACTCCTACATATGTATACACTATATCAACTCATATCTACTAATAGATAAGACTACGATACGATTAGAATATGATAGATTAGATACGAACTGTACGATAGATAGATAGATAGACGCTAGCATACGATAGATATCGCACTTAGATAGATTAGAATAGATAAATAACATATATAATATTATCTATTACTCTAGTACTATGACTCACGACTATATATATACAACCTATTATATTACCATATATACACACACACAACACCACACATTACTACTATATTATATACGGTCTATATATATAACAACCCTACCCTACTGTATACTTTATATATCATATACATATTATGATCGGCTATTGGCGCTATGATATGTATGCTATAAAGTATAATAAGCTACACATCAATATGTGTGTGTTTATATATATATATACTGTATCTCATATACTATTACTCACTATACTCCCTCTACCGCTATACTCTTTATACACTATAACTGTCTGGTGTGTGTGTGTGTGTGTGTCGTGTGTGTGTGTTCTGCTGTGTGGTGTGTGTGTGTAGTGTGTGTGTGTTGCTCGTGTGTGTGCGTGTGTGTGTGTGTGGTGGTGTGTGTGTGTGTGTGGTGTCGTGTGTGTGTTGTGTGTGTGTGTGTGTGTGTGTGTGTGTGTGTGTGTGTGTGTGTGTGTCGTGTCGTGTATGTGTGCTTGTGTGTAATAACACACATATACTAATATATATTATTATATTACTATATATAATTTAAGTATTATATATACTATATACTAACATTCCCATTATACACACACACCGCGCGCGCATTATACATATAACATATGATTACGCTCACATATATAGTATATATATATATAACTATATTACTCTACCTACCTATATATAGTATATATATGTACCCTCACCATACTTACCATACTAACTATATTACTGCATATACTATATTATGAAGGGATTTCATATATATAGATCACTCGCATATACCTCACCCACACCCAATCCAACACACACATATAGTACTCATACATAACGATGTATTTACTATTTACCTATACAACACTATATATGATATATAGACATACGAATAAAATCATAATTACATATATCTACATATGCTAGCTACTAACTCCACACAGATGTACTGATATGTATGTTAATGCCTATCGTTTGTAATACGCTCTGAATATACTAACATAATCAACGTATATATATAACAGTATATGACAGTAACATATGAATACTATACTCATATACATCTAATTATATTACTTATAATACTCACTAAACATGCGATATATATGCATATATTATATAGTCACCAATCATTACTATATCCTATATATTATACATATATATACTACTCTACACCATATATATGTTTAGTTATCTATACTCGCTATCACGAACCACCTCTGTACTGCTACTTCTATAGTCACACTATATACATTATATAATATGGTATATCAACTTATATCAACTCTCTACATCTATACCGCTACTACACTATACTACTCATCTATACTATCTAATCACACCGCCACACACACACACAACATCAGCCACACCACACAACACATCACACACACACAGCATACTATAGACACTTATCACTA